CTCGTCTGCCAAGTTTCTTAGATATTACGAACATATTAGCATACTACGCAATCAGAATTCTTTCTCTTCAATATAGATCTACAATCTATCCTATATAGCTATTATGCATCATCACTGCTTCGTCTTTTCCTTGCTAATATTACATATACAGTCAAATGTCTTTAATCTGGACTCGTCGGGACTTCGGCGATTCCGATTATAGATCATCTGTTTAAATCTGGTAAGATGGCATGCAAAAATTATAAAATTAAAAATATGAAACCGTAATTTATGAAATAAAGAGCAATTATGATCTAAAGGGTATCAAAATTTACGAAAAAAAGCTTAATATTGATTGTTTACTTTATTAAACAACATTTCTTTCAACAAGCGTATGCGTAAAGCATACATGCGCATAGTCGAATTAGAAAATTGCAACCAAAACTATTTGATGTGTATTCGTGATATTTACAATGAGAGGAATTTGATTTAAATCATATCAAAGAGGAGTACATCGAGATGAAACACTACATTTAGTAGGATTATAAGCCGAATAAATAAAAACATCTGCCCTGAAGATAAGGACAGTGCTGACAGATCAACTTCAAGTTCATTTTACGTTCTCCAGTTTGTACTCTTCCAGTTCATTCCCTCCCCGCAGCGTGAAATTGATAAACAGATTTCGGAATGGTTAGAGAAACAAAGGATATGCCTTTATCCATTTTTTTTTTTTTGCAGCAATTCCACTTTTTGTATGATGGACATTGAAACATGCTTTCGCTTTGTAGATCCTTTGCCAGCTCCAGAATCAGAAATTCTTTTGGACATAATCGAAAGTTCAAGCTTACTTTTATAAAAATTGCTCTAACAGTCTGCAAAAAATAATAAGCTGATCCAATAAAGATTAGGACAACGCAATCTGCAACATTAACTGAAATAGATAATTAGATAATTTTAGCTTAGCTTATACCGTCCATTATACATTAAACGTGCATGCATATACGTATGATGTGCATGCGTTAACGTATTATGCGCATGAGTAAATGCATATGTTTACGCATGCACAGAAATTGGTAGCTTTGAGGACCGATTATAGATTATTCTGGGATTATGGATGTCCGGATTAAAGACTTTTGACTGTATATAATAAATAAACTGAAAAACAATGACATTTATAAATGCACTTGAAACTCGTACATAAATAATCATAAAAACAGAGTATAAACTAACGTTTTTCACAAAGAATTAGATCAAACAACTGATCAATAAATGTAAAACCCTGACTGATCTTTGGAATATGGAAACTGGTAGTTTGGCTACATTTGGAGGCGAAAGTTTATACCTAGACTTGGTAATGTGAGAAGTACTCAGTTCCGATTACGCATTATTTGTGTGAGGGAAATGAGGATCATGAGATATGTCATGAGACATTAAGGACGAATTACGTTCTTTATCGGAAAGGGGGGGAAATCTGGAAATTTTGTATTTAGCTTTTCTGTGTTGTGTGGAATAGTGTTGGTTATTTTTGGATCCCAGGGCCCTAACTAAAGTGAATTCGAAATGGGTATTTATTGGGATTGAAAGGGGTAGTAAAGTGTTTTTTTAAGGTTGTGTGAGATAGAAGTAAAGTGTTTTATTAAGTTATTTTTTTACCTGGTACCTTGCTTGAACTATAAGTAGATTTTAAGATCCTGAAAACAGGCGCACATACATTTGCTTTTTATTTCGCGAGGAAATAAGAAAAGTTTATCGCCAGTCAAGATTCTGAGAAGATTAGGTAAGTTAGGCATTTAATTATTTGAGGATATTATTTTTATGCATTTTCTAAAGTAAGGAGTAATAAAGTAATATGTATTATTGGAAAATTGTTATTAGCTATTTAGTTTAAAGTAATTAGGATTGTAAGCTAATTTTTATTAATTTAATGTATGGGCTTTTTATATTTAAGTAGTGTTTTTGAATTTAATTATATTTAATTAAATGATAGTTATTTGTGAATTATCTGTTTTGTAATTTGGTATATGTTTCAGTGGAAGTAAAGTGCATAATAATTTAAATATTTGACCATTTTGAATCATTTGTATATTAATATAGTATTTGTATATAATATATAGTATTTGTAACCATTTGTTGTTTGAGGTATGAATTCGTTGGTGACGTTTATAATATAAGTAATTTAGAGGTAAAAGTTTTTGGATATTTTATTTTTTTATACGTGAAATGTTCATCTTTGGAAAGGGTATTACTTTTTGCGATCAGGATTTCATTATGTTGCGTTTTTTACCGAGTTTAAAATGGCGCAATGCCATTTTTGCAATTCTGGGATTTTTTTAAGTAAAAATAAGTCGAATGTACATGTTTTAGTGATATTTTAATTAAATGATAGTTATTTTGTGAATTTTATTTTAGGAATTTTGGTATACGTTCAGTTAAGTAAGTGCATGCAAATAATTTAAATATTTGACACTAAGTATTTGTAACCATTGTAAGTTTGCGGTATGAATTCGTTGGTGACGTTTATAATATAATAGATAATTCAGATTTAAAATTTTTTTTGGATATTTTTTTTTATACGTGGAAATGTTCATCCTTTTTCGGCGATCAGTAATTTATATATGTGCTTTTACCGAGTTTAAAGATTCACAGAATGTTTTGCATTTTCGTGCAAATTTTTTAATTTATGAGAAAATAGCAGTGTAGAGGATAAATTTAAGTGTGTGCAATGCCATTTTTGTGCAATTCTGGGATGTTTTTTTTAAGTAAAAATAAGTCTACGTGTAAATGGTTTATGTGGTATGGGCTATTCTGAAAACGCGCAAGGAGTTGCGATTGTGCACTTTTTCCCAATTTTGCAGTTATATTTGTCATGATTAAGCAGTTTTGTTCCATAAAATTTCTAGCATAAATGTAATTCGGCTAGTAGATTGTTGGAAAAAGTGTTCAGTAAATAAAAAGAACTGTCTTTACTTTGTGAAGACAAAATGGCAGCGAAAAAAAATGAGGTTGCTGTAGGCAGTTGGTCGCCAAATTTCGCCAAAAATCGCCAAGTTACATAATCCAAGATCAACCGAAACCCATATTATTTTTGGGAAAGGAAAATAAAGTCAAATAAAATAAATGAAAAATAATGCATCAATTTAACTAAAAAATTGAAAACGTAAAGAAAGTACATGAAGTTAATCTTAATCTTCCTTCAATAAAAAAAAAAAAAATTCCTGAAAGAAATTTAAAAAAAGAAAATTATTTATTTATATTATATTCATCATGGGATGTTTAATATCCTACTATAATGCAAATACAAGAGGTTCTGCTTGAGATTAACGAAGGCATGGACATATTTTTTCCCAACAGAAATTGGCTCGTATTTATATTATACACGATAATAATAATATACGTATTATGCTTATTGGGGTTCATTTTTATATCTTTTATAAAAACCCAGAAATATTTCGGTACTTAACAGAATTATGATAAAATATCTACTCTTTAACCAGAGCTAATTTATCATAAATTTTAAACAGCAAATAGGTTAATGAAGGGTTTGGATTTCAAAGAGTTAAATTGCCAGCAAGTGAAAGACTAAAGACTCACAGATCCTTCCTTTCGACAGCATGTTTTTGTTTTGATCTTTATGATACTTAACCATATTCATACACCCAATTGTCAGGTTTTCTCACAGGAGTGGAATCCTGTTTTAAATTTAAATAAACTGGAAAAATATCTGCATTTCTTTGGAATGTCGACAAACACCTTTCCCCTCCAAATGAGTTTAAAAATGCTGCTCTTGCTACCTTACATTACAAATAACCTTCAGACAAGTGGTTCCATGTTTAAACAGATGGTTCAGCAGAAAATGCAATAAAAAAGTGTTAGTGCTGGAGTCTATTCAAGTAATTTTAGTATTAGCTGTTCAGCTGGGAAATACTGTGACAATTTTGATGGAGAGATAGCAGCTATAACATATAAAACTGATAAGTTAAAAAATAGCCTAGATCAAAATATTGTGTTTTTTATTGATTCAGAAGCTGTTATTTTGTCACTTATCAATTCTATCTATAATGAAAATGCCCAGGTTCATTCTTGTAAAATGAAACTTTCTGAGCTAAGGGAAAACAGACAAAGCATTGTTCTTCAGTGGATTCTGAGCAACTGTGATATTTTTGGAAATAGCAAGAAGATAAGACTTGCTAAGGCTAGATCCCTTATGGCCCAACCTGATTCCCCTTTTTCTTTGCAATATTAAAAGAATTATATATAATAAAATGAAAAACAGCAGAATATCCTTATATGCTGATATAGCAGTGGATAAGAAGTAGAATATCCTGCTCAATAAAAGAAATAATATCCTCACTTCTTTACCTTGGGCTCTTGGAGTTCCCTGCTTTCATTTGACAATTGGCCGTGATTATTTACAGCAACATTTACATTGGACTGTAGTCAAGGATTCAGCTTGCTGGGGGGGGGCCCTCTGTGTCATCAGGGTGATATAGATGGTGACCACCTCAAGAACTGACCTATTATTTTAGTTTATTACAGACAACTCTACGGAGGCTAATTTTTACCCTTACTTTTTTTAGACTCTCATTATTTTATTACGCTGCTCATTGACTAATGGCAGAAATGCCAAAGACGGGTGTAGGATTAAAAAAAAAATTTCAGAACAGCCCTAACTCAAAATTCGCATCTTTTAAGTTGTGCCAGTACTGCAGCCCATAAATGCATCACATTATCTATGGAATATCAATATGGTTTTCATCAATCTCATTCTGAATTCATAAATTAACAATGCATTTAAGTGCAAAAAGACTTGCAAGCTGAAATGTTTAGCAGTAAATATAATTTTGAATACATTTTTTCCTAATGAAGAAAAATTAAAATCAATAAAAAAAATGTTGTTCAATTTTCTATTATTATAAAATTTTTATCCATTCCTTTCATTTGCGATTACTGAAGTTTTATTCTAAACAACAAGAGGAATGTAGAATATTATTTTTAACATCTTATAAAATCAATGAACTTACTTTTCTGGCAAAACGATTCCATCTTTTAAGATGTATGATACAAATCCTTCAGGAAGTGCCAAAATTATACTATGGTTAAATGAGAAAAGAAGTTGTTTTAAAGCTAAATCTTTAACTGAATACAAACAAAACAATAAAAAAAATATTACACTTCATTATTACAGTAAACCCTTGCTGAATGCTGACTTGCAAAATGCAACTTTGCATGTACATGTTATCTTAATTGTCTCCATAAGCCCAATGCAAGAATTTTAACTGTATGTTGCACACTCTATAATGAAAGTTACATTGCAATAGCTCCTTTTAATGACTGGTTTGAAAATTTATTCATTAAAGAAACCAAACATTACTTAAATAGCAGCACTGAAGTCCTCATAACATTGCATAGCTGTCAACCTTGAAATCTAAAAAAGCAGAAGATTTTTGCGAGAAAACCAGGAGTTTTCAAGCGAAGCAACATCATTTTAAAGGAACTCCAAACTGGCTTTAATTCACTTTAAAATTAAGTAATTCACGTGCATAGTATTTGTGTGGATAAAACTTAGTAATGCACCATATACTGAAGTAAGCAAAATTAAATACAAATATTAACTGATTAAAGAACTAAAAACAAATCCTCATATAAAGTTTTAAAATGTTGATAGTAGATTAAAACAAATCAGATCAAATGAAATTTGATAAGATCAATGAAATGCAATAAAAATACAATACAAATGAAATAAATTTAGTAAAAATTATTCTGAAAATTATTAGAGGTGGATGAATGCAATTTATCTAATTTAAGTTTCATAAATTCAATAATTTTAATTTATTGCTGAGAAACGTGTTCCCTAGTAAAGGCTAAAAATTAAAAAGCACGAGATTTTGTGATCTGCTGGGAGACTCAGAGATGAGATGAAAATTGGAAGAGTTGGCAGCTCATCCAAATGTAAAAGTTTTATTCCTTCTACCGAACACTTACTTCTACTTCCTTAATCCACACAATGAATCAAGGGGTAAAAATATATTTCAGGGTGTCCCTTGGCGAAAACTGGCAATTGGCCAGCAAGGTACAATTTCAAGATGGCCACTACACAAAACCAAAATAACAAGTCAAAGAATTGCACAAACTCAGTGTCCATGTATACATCGATCTATTTTCACTTAAAGAAAAAAATCAGAGAATTGCACAAACTCGGCATTGCGGACTCCCTTGACTTTGTCCAAGTGTACATCGATCTATTTTCACTTATAAAAACATCAAGAGAATAATGACGTCATATTCTCATTATCAAAATTGAACAAAATGTGCAGCCAATCGAAGCTCAATAAACTGCATTTTAAACCAAACAATGATATAACATAAAAAAGGAAATACATTGTATCATAGATACGCACTACAAAAAGGAAATATCGATTTACCATATTTAGAAATTTCTGCATCTTCGGTCTGTGGCACACAAAACTCCTTAATAGCCTCCACTTTCTAAAATTATCTGAACTAGAATATACATACTGCCGTCCCAACATAAATTCACAAAAATAGCTTCCGTAGTGCTGGACTGTTGGTGACATTTCTTGCAGAAACCTTTCTTGTGATAAACCCATTCAAAGCCATCTGAGCGATCTTTACGTTCAACCATATGCATTTCCTTTGTACAAACAGGATACTTATAATGACTACTAAGTAAATCTTTATTTACACACCAGTCAATTAATGCTTTTTTTCCCTTATGTTCCAAATCATAGAGAAACTTTAGATTAATCTCATCACATACAGCCATTTTACGATGCACGGCACAAAATAAATAACACATTTCCTAACTGACATCCAACCCGGAAATAAGCCCTTGCAAATGTTTTCCCATTAGTCAAATTCACCACACTCATGTAACCAATCACATCATAATAGGGTTTCCATAACGTTCAACTACTCAGGTTACTATAAATGAAACCACAATTTGGCGATAAATGAAACAACAATTTGGCGATAATCCAAAAGGCACCCTAAAATACAGACAAACTGGTTAGAGTAGACTGAAGGAATGCCCCTTGTATTATCACGAAGTTGTTGTTTCATATCTGGTAACCTGAGTAGTTGAATGTTATGGAAACCCTATTATGATGTAATCAGTTGTATGATTATGGTAAATTTTGAATTATGGGAAAAGATTTGTAAGGGCTTGTGATGTGTGTTAGGAAGTACACTGCTTGTTTTTTGGTTTAGACATAGAATGGCTGAATGTGGTAAGATTAATTTGAAGTTTTTGTACGATTTGGAAGAAAAAGAGAAAAGAGCATTAACTGAGTGGTGTGTAAATGAAGGTTTACTTAGAAGCCATTATAAATGTCCTGTTTGAAGGAAATGCGCATGGGCAAACATCGGAAGATACCAGCACTACGGAAGATATTTTTTACTCTTATTTTTGAGAATTTATATGGCATCGCCAGTATACAGATTCTAGTTCAGATAATTTTAGGATGTTTTTGGATGCTGTTAAGGAATTTTGTTTGAATGAAAGGAGGAAAATTTCTAAATAAGGTGAGTGGATATTTCCTTTGCTAAGATGAATTTTCTTTTTTATAGTATTTGATTGCTTGATTTAAAATGTCGTTTACTGAGATTATATATTTTTTGTTGGCTGCTCCTTTGACTTTTAAGGGAGGATAGATTGATGTGGAAGATCGACATGGAAGTCAAGAAAGTGCACAATGTGAAGTTTGTGCAATTCTCTGATGTTTTTTTTAAGTGAAAATAGGTTGATGTGTACATGGATACCGAGTTTGCACAAACTCGGTATCCATGTACTACCAAAAATCGCCAATTTTTGCCAAGGGGCACCCGTAAATATATTTTTACCGACTGATCAATCAAGGAATTATAAAAACATTTAAAGGCATGTTTAATGTTTACATTTCTGCAAATACACCACTAGACAAAGGAAAGCTTGACACACTAACAGTATTTTGAAAGGAATTCGACATGTCACATTGTACAGAAATCATTAAAACCACATGGAAACAAATGAATTCATCAAAAAACAATACCTGATCAGTTCCTACCTGAAGTTCTCAAGAATTTTAAGAGAGCTCCATTATATGAAAATGAAGCTAAGGAAATCAGAAACTATGAGATCAAACTCAAAATGAATGAACTTCGGATTCTGATCGGAATTATTCTCCTTGTCCAGTATCATTCATATTTAAGAAAGGTGGTAGCATTTGGACTTGAAAGGTTCAGATCAGGCTACCCTTTTAGCTAGCATGTTTCAACAGCTGACCCTCGTTCGATATCATTGTGAAGGACAAGAAAGTTGGCTGCTACGAAATCTTCTACTTGCATGTCTCTGAAATCTGAATTTGGATTGTGCAGTACATGTCCAGAGACATGAATTCTACTGCATACAGTGAGCATTCATATCCCTGCTGATATAGTGATGAACAATTGCAGTATATTCGAAGAAATATGTTGGAAGAAAGAAAATCAAAGAATTATATGAAAATGATGATCATGAAGAGAAAAATGAAGAACTGGATGATATTATAACACTAGATGATGGTGAAAGCAGCGATATTAAAGAAGACAAAGAGCCTTTAACGTACAAGAAGTTAAACCAATTATTGAAAAAGGCACAGGAATCAACCAGTTTTGTAACATAGATTAAACCAAATGAAGAAAGAAGATAAACTTCATGACGGACATTGAAAAACTTTTTACTGTGAAGCATTTATGGTCAGACACTGTCTCAAGCAAAAATTAGCTATTTAAAAGAATAATTGGTGAATCTTCGGATTATGGTAACTTGGCAATTTTTTGGCGAAAATTTGGTGACCAACCCTCCTAGTTTTTTTTTTTGGATGCCATTTTGTTTCCGCAAAGTAAAGCCATGTCCCCCAATTGCTAGCGAATACCTTATGCAGAACTTTTATAGAACAAAAGTGCTTATCTGATGAGATTAGGTGCAAATTCTGGAGAAGTGCAGAATCCTCACTGCTTCGTGCTTTTTAAGAATGCACAGAAACGGTATCCATGGCACGTCAACCTATTGCACTGATCACATCACAGAATGCACAAAAAGGCATTGCACACACTCTTGCCTTATCCATGTACCGCGACCATTCACTAAAAGTCAATAAAATTAACAAAAATCCAATCTTTTTCTCTTGTAAAAAGACCAAACAAATAAGTGGGCGATTCTGCACTTTACAGCGAATTGTTTTTAAGTGCTTTAGCTAAAACACGATGGGATTTTCTGGAAATGTACATGACATTCTATGATCTCTCATCTCTCTGACAAAATAATCTGCGTCGAACTGTGTACTCTCAGATTATTGCTAAAGTCTACTATAACCGTTATCGCCTTACAAATGTGCCAAAGACCTGTTCCATATTCCAAAGATTAGCCAAATAATTTTATCATGTACCTACTTACTAAGCAATAACAAAAATTCTTTCAATTAACATCTGTTTCATCCTTCATTTCAATCACAATAATATTTATGCTTATATAAAGTATACAGACTTTCTTAATCTGAACTATAGCTAAACTTTTTTTTTCCGTAGAAAGTTAACTTTGCAGAATGCAACTTTGCTGTATACACAATATGTTAACAATGTAAACCCTGCATTCAACAAGGGTTTACTGCATACAAATTTTATCAGCTCTTTATTGAACTACAAATTTCAAGCATCAATTTTGATGGCATTTATTTATTTTGGATACACTGGAAACTAAATTTTAAAATTCATTTACAAATCCTTAAGCTTCGTGTGACAATATCATAAACAGGCAAATGAATCACAATAAACACAAATCTATTATAGAATTCACATTATGCTGCCCCATAAATGCTTTGTAGATTGACCAAACAGTTTATTTATAATAAAAAAAGACTATACAAATGCACAGAAACATACTTATAAATCATTTTACTAAGTCGTATATATGAAAATTAATTATAACACAAACTATGCAAATGTAATATTTTTGCAGCCACTTTTTATTACTATTAAGAAATAAGCTCAACTCTAAGAAATACTGGTGCTTTCTGATTATCCACACTGTCACTAAAATGCTCAAAAATGTACTAATGAGGTTGTCATAACATATTTATGTGGCAATCCACAATGTGAGCAAAAAGTATTTATGTGGCAATCCACAATGTCAGCAAAAAGTATTTATGTGACAACCCAAATACACACATAGCATCCTCTCCTGATGACTTTCTACCTTCCCAGACATTTTTATCAGCATGACTACAAATGATGATCCCTCCTATGGGAACTTCAGCAGTTTAGCATAGCAGTAGATCCCATATTGCAGTTTCTTGTCATGTTTGCTGAAAGCTCAGACTTAGCTTTCTGCATACACACAGCATGATATGGGTTACTCAAAGATATCATTCATCACTGTTTCTCCCTCTCAGTTTAGGATTTTAGTGCAAAGGTTGTATAATTATTCGATTTTTTTTTTTTTAGTGAAAACATACTGCTGTGTGCATAAAAACAACAATGCACAAAAAAAGTGTGCATCTTTTGCATAAAAAAGAGAAATGTAAAAAAATATGTGGCATTGATTGCATCGTTAAAATAGATGTAGTGTTATCTACAGAAACATTCCTTTCCAAAGAGTTTGTGACATTTCAATAGACATGTCTTACTATAGGTCTTAACTAACAGCACAAATCACATTTAAAGGATCTCTAAAAAGGCTGGAATTGCTCAAAAAAAAAAAAAAAAAAAAAAAAATGTCATCATTTTGAGAATAACTGAAATGCTTATTACGCAGCATACCTTTCTGTTTTAACAATTTTTTTATGCACTCTATTATAAACCTAACATTGTACGACCATTAAATTTTTTGATGATTTATTAATTAGTGCATAGGCTCAGCTACCTGAAGAGGTTACATCGATTTCATTTTGTTATACAAACTTTGCAATTAATCTATCAATTCATCAGTAACAAACAATTAAACCTGAACAAAGAAGCTTAGCAGTACCTAGGAGATGCAGATACAAGCAGTTATGCACTTTATTTGAACAGATACAAAAGATAAAATCTAATGTGAAACTTAATTTGAGAAGGTAAGATTAATAAATTCTATACATTTCAAGGATTCCTGGGATTTCTAAGTTTCCCTATAAAACCGAAATTACACTAAGGTTTCTTCAACCTTTTTTTTTAATATCGAACTGTTAAACAGAAATGTAATTTATGTTCGTCTTATAACGTAAACTTAACAATAGAAAACGTTCATTTATTTATAATCCAAAATCTCCATTTATATTTCAAAGTAAGTGAATTCAACCAAACTAATGAAAGCTTGAGTGTAATATTACCTTTTAAAAGTAACATGTTTAAAGTCATTGTACCAGTTTTGAAAACTGCACACTTCAACATCTTTTATTTTCATCGTTATCTATTTCAATAAAATTATACAGTTAAAATGATTACCAATATCAGCAATTTATTTTATTATAAAGAATAATTCAACGTTATTTCACATCATCCAAATAAAACATTGCACTTCAAACAAGAAACGTAAACAAACGACACGTGTTCTTCAGACAAGCGGCAGCTGAGGCAAAAAACTAAGGGCTCTGAGATAAACAGGGATATATTTCCATAATTATGCTCAGATAGATTATTTTCTGACGTTTCAACATATGAACTTTACTAAAAAGAATTCAAAGGCAAACTATTATATTTAACTATTTCACGGAACTATCTAAATAAATAAAAATAATTAACTGTAACCGCAAATTTTGTTTACATTTGTGATAGATAACGTGAAATCTGGGGTGATTAATTTTTTTTTAAATTTCTATTAATAGATGTTTAAGTTTTTAAATGATAAATTTAATTATTAATTAAATCATCAAGTGCAGCTTAATATAATTTGAACGTCTGAATTTAAATGTTCCGCTTAATACTTGGGCATCCTGGGTAATCCGATTATTCTCCGAGAAGAAATTTAACCAAGTGAAGCATTTGTTTGAAAAAATATGAAGATAAACTTTCCTGAAATGCCTGTTTTATAAAAAACATGTGCAACATTTATTTATTTACTTATTTATATATTGATAAAAGTCTATATTTTCTCACTATGATCTGGTTATTTTTTTGTTCTGATTATATTTTGAATTTATAAGAGCAATTATTCTAGCATAACTTCTTTTTACGATTTAATATCAATATATAATATATATTCGTGATTTAAAAAAAATTTTAAAGTTAATTTCAAATACCTTTTTGGTTGATCTTTACAATATGGTAACTGGTAATTTGGCGACATTTTGGAGGCGATAAAGGTTACTACCTGGGACTTTGGTAATAATGTGAGCAGTACTCAGTTCCGATTACGCATTATTTTGTGTGAGGGAAATGAGAGATCATTGTATATGTCATGTGATATTAATGGACGAATTACGGTTCTTTAATCGGAAAAGGGGGGGAAATCGGGAAAAAATCTGGAAATTTTGTATTTGGCTTTATTCTGTGTTGTGTGAAACAGTGTTCCTGAATTTTTGGATCCCATGGCCGTAACTAAAGTGAATTCGAAATGGGTATTTAGTGGTATTGAAAAGGGTGGTAATAAATGTTTCTTTAAGGTTGTGTGAGATCTTCAGGTAAGTTAGTATTTTTAATTATTTGAGGATATTATTTTATGCATTGTTCTAAATGTAAGGTGGAATAAAGGAATTTGGTATTATTGGGAAAATTGTTATTAGCAATGATTTAGTTTAAAGTAATAGGATTGTAAGGTAATTTTATTAATATAATGTATTGCTCATTTATATTTTAAGTAGTGTTTTGAATTTAATTATATTTTATTAAGTGATGGTTATTTTGTGAACTTTTATGTTTGTAGGAATTTGGTATACGTTTTAGTTGAAGTAAACTGCATGGAATAATTTAATATCTGACACTAAGTATTTGTAATGGTTGTGGTATGAATTCGTTTGTGACGCTTTTATAATATAATAGATGATTTAGAGGTAAAAGTTTTGGATATTTTTTATTTATTTTATATGTGGAAATGTTCATATTTGGAAGGGTAAATACTTTTTCGCGATCAGGTAATTTCATATGTTCTTTTTACCCGGTTTAAAGATTAAGAAAATTGTCATGTATTTTCGTGAAATTTTCTAATTTATGAGAAAAAAGCAGTGTACATGGATATAGTGAAGTGTGCGCAATGCCATTTTTGTGCAATTCTGGGATGTTTTTTTAAGTAAAAATAAGTCGACGTGTACATGGTTTAGTGATTTTTAATTTAATGATAGTTATTTTGTGATTTTATTTTTGTAGGATTGGTATACGTTTAAGTTGAAGTAACGTGCATGGAAATAATTTAAATATTTGATACTAATATTGTAATGCTTGCGGTATGAATTCGTTTGTGATGTGTATAATGTAAAGATGATTTAGAGGTAAAAGTTTTTGGATATTTTATTTATTTTATATGTGGAAATGTTCATATTTGGAAGGGGTAAATACTTTTTCGCGATCAGGTAATTCATATATGTTCTTTTTACAGGGTTTAAAGATTGAGAAAATTGTCATGTATTTTTCGTGAAATTTTTCTAATTTATGAGAAAAAAGCAGTGTACATGGATATAGTGAAGGTGTGTGCGCAATGCCATTTTTGTGCAATTCTGGGATTTTTTTAAGTAAAAATAATCGGCGTGTACATGGTTTATGTGTATGTGTATTTTGAAAAACGCCTAAGGAGTATGGTATTGAGCACTTTTTCCCAATTTTGGAGTGATATTTGTCATGATTAAGCAGTTTTGTAGATAAAATTTCTGCATAAGTGTATTCGGGGAGTAGATTGTGGAAGAATGTTCAGTGAAAAAGAAAAGAAACATGTCTTTACTTCGTGAACATAAAATGGCGGCGGGAAAAAAAAAAATAGAGGGTTGCTGTAGGAGAGTTGGTCGCCAAAAAAACGCCAAGTTACCATAATGTAAAGATCAACCACCTTGGTTTAATTTAAGAGTGTATTTTTTTCCTTCTTTTCCAATTTCTAGTAAAAATGTTTTTTACTTGCAATTTTAACAAAATCATAGCACTATTCAATTAAATTATTATCTTAAATATACATTGGAACCTCTTGAAGGCAGTTATTTGTAGTTTAAACCAGTGCTTGCTTCCTTGGAAAACATCAATGTATTTATAACCTCTGACTTTTTAAACTGTTACACAATTCATCGCGTCTGTCATATTGAGTGTTGACTAAGAACTAATTTTATCTTAAGCTCTATTTTACATTTTTATGTTAGTAATTAATTTCAGTCAGAACCTACCTCAATATGCCTTTAGTAACTTCTTTTAAAATCAAATTGTATATTCTGATACTCTGTACTGAAATCCTGCTTCAAATGATGATATTTGTTTTAATTTGTTAATCATGGCCTTGTCAGACATTGCATATAAGAACTACAAGATGTGTTCAGATATAATCCTGAAGGCTAATTTAAATTTTTTTTAAAAATTCCTTATTGTAAATATAACTGTTATTCGAAAGTATAAACAGTGAAATATCATGAAAAACTTTCATATGGAAAAATTGTTGTGCTAATAATGTAAAGCTGAGACATAAATTGCATTTGTAATCAGTATGTAATAAATGTTTTCAGCCAAACTATACTATCAAATTTGCTATTATACCTTCAAAATTGCTTTCAGTTGTGATATTTCTGTCATATATATATCATATTACTGGAATTATTTTCAACTATATTATAGCTTTCATTGTATAATTAACGTACTGATGAAAATTAATTCCTCCTGCATAATTATATTATTGTAGGAGATTGTATTCAATTATATGATTAAGAAAAGGCTAAAAGTTAAGCCTATCGTAGTGCATGGTGTAAAAATAATCTGTTTAGGGCTTATATAATAATAATTAAAAAAAAACCTTATTTATCTACTGAAATAACATTTTTATAAAATTTATGAATAAAAATTTACAATGAGTTTTTATAAAGAAACAGAATTTGAAAATTTTGTATTTTATTAATATTTCATTACAATTTTTTCTCCTTCAGCAAAATGACATCTTGTACGTATAATTGTTTGATGAATGTAATTAACATTGGAAACAGTATCATTGGAGTGAGCATATTAGCTATGCCGTACTGTTTCAGGAAGGTATGTATTCTAGTTTCTTTCTGATACTTTTTATGAAATAATTTTAATGTTATGAAGAAATATATTTTGAGTAAATGCATACAATGTATATAACTGTGATGTTCCTTCAGTCATATAATTCTATTCTTCTTTAATCAACAAAATCAAATTTATAATAAAAATTGCGCAGCAGAGTACTAAATAAGCAGATTAAACTTCATGATGGTGCAGAAGGAATGTCTCTTTCTCAAGTAGTGTAACTTCAGTGATTTTTCATTATTAAATACAAAGTCCGTAATCTGGACTCGTTGAGACTTCGATTTCAGGTTAGGGTTTTTGGTAAAAGTATATTTTAAGAGTACCCCTTGGCGATTTTTGGTGGTACATGGATACTGAGTTTGTGCAATGCTTTGACTTGTTATTTTGGCCTGTGTAGCGGCGATT